TCATGGAAAATGGCAATCACACTTAACTTGGGATCACAATATGCTCGCAACTCCCAATCGGTCTTAATTTTGAATAATGATAGTTAGAGACTGGTTGGATGATTTATTCACCACACTGACAAATGTACAATTGGTTTATTACTTATTTAAAACAAACGGATAGCCTTCCGAAGCTTACCACAAATTATTCTTGTGACTAAACCTAGTTGTAATCTTAATTTCCCCACTAAAGTTTAAGACTGAAATATTATTTAAAACAAAAAAAAATAAAAGTTCACACCCCACCCCCACCCCAAGTATCTGCCACAGTTCGCCTTTCTTTCCCATTTCCTGTGCCTGAGGCCCAGATCTCAGTAAAGGAAAACAGAGCCTATTTCACTGGTTAAAAAAAAAAGACTCCCAGCTGCTCTGGGGCAGAGTAAGATGCCACTTTCCCCTGTGCAGAGAGCATCTTTCGTTAACTACAGAGTTTTCTTGCTCAGCTGAGGAAACAAAACAGAGTCCCTGGAAGGAAACAAGTGCGCCCCAAAAGACGAACGGCCCCTTAATGCTCTCGGGGCGCAACCAAAATCCCATCTTACGAAGAAAATAAGGCAGTGGCTGAGGTGGGAATGAAGAAAAGCAGTCTATCCGAGCTACCTATAACACGCCCTTTTCTCCCCAGTCTGTTCTATGGGGGGGGGGGGGGGGGAATAAGAAGAAATCAATGCAAAGGCTTTCTGGCTAAAACGTAGGTGGGGGAAGGGACGAGACGGAAAGCTGCCTCGATGAAAAATGAGAAAAGCCATCAGCCGCCCTCCTCCCTCCCCCCCCCGCTGAGAAGGTACCTCCCTTCACACAGAAGGCGGGGGGGGGAGGAGAGGGGGGATGCTCGCGCGGCCCTCTCCTAGCCTAGAAGCCTCCGCGCGCGCGGGCGGGCGGGCGGGCGCACTCCTTCACTCCACCACACCGGCACGCGCGCAAACGCGCCCGCCTTGCCAGCGGGACGCGCGCCTCTCGGTGTCGCACGGTTTTCGAAGCAGGGATGGAAAAAGAGAGAAGAGCCCCGCTCGTCACGAACTGAGAGCCGACGGTTATTGGCGTCGCGGCTCAAGGCGCGTGACGAGGGAAAAGAATATGATACACAGCGCGCGCATACACACGCACACACGCACACACACACAGCGCTCGTCTTCCACATTTTATTCACGTCAACCTTTTTTCTTCTTCTTCGTAATATTGGGAGTTGAAAATAGCGACTCTATACACAAACGCACGCACACACAAACACGCAGGCGGGCACGCCCCCTCTCCTCATTCAGTTCCTTTCCTTGGCTCGTCCGCTGCGCGTTCCTGAGGCGGCGGCGGCAGCTTTGGCAGACTCTATAAAGCGAACCGCGGCGCTGCCCCACATGGTCAAGGCACGCCCCCCTCGCAAAGCTCCGACCTGATGGCGAGCAAAGCCTTCGTGAAAGAGGCACCTTCCCTCTTTTTCCCTCCCTTCCTTTCCGTGGCTCAAGGGGAGCGCACCGAGATCCCTGTCAGAGAAACGGCTGGGGTGGCGGGGGCGGGAGAGACTTCCCTTTTCCAAATCAAACCAAGACGCCGGCGAGAAAAATAACCTAGCCCGGGGGAGAGAAAAACAAAACAACCAAGCTCTAAGCCTGTAAAAACACTCGGCTAAACCTTTAGCTTCAGCGGCATCCGCCTGCGCGCCCATCCACACGCACCGAAGGTGACCCAACCTCTCCTCCCCCACTGGGCACCTTACATCCAGCCAAGGTTGCTGCCACAATTCCCCCCACACACACACCCCACGGCCAAATCACGTTGGGTCCCGACCCCGGCATCCTTGCTGGCTTGGCGCCCGCCGCTCGAAACGAAGGGCCCGGAGGTACAGCCCTGGAACGCCAGAATCGAAGCTCTCTCTCGCGCCCTTTATCCCGCCATTTTGCCCCCAATCGCCTTTTCCTGCACCATGCCGCCCACCCGACCGAAGATGGGGGAAGCGCACATCACAGGGGAGAGAAAGGGAAGAGGTATAAAAAAGAAGATATCAGCCCTTTAAAGTCTATCTACCCTTTTCTCCCCAACCACCCCCTCCCGCCCCCCATGAAGTCTCAGCTAAGNCCCCCCCCCCCCGCTGAGAAGGTACCTCCCTTCACACAGAAGGCGGGGGGGGGAGGAGAGGGGGGATGCTCGCGCGGCCCTCTCCTAGCCTAGAAGCCTCCCCGCGCCCGCGGGCGGGCAGGCGGGCGCACTCCCTCACTCCACCACGCCGGCACGCGCGCAAACGCGCCCGCCTTGCCAGCGGGACGCGCGCCTCTCGGTGTCGCACGGTTTTCGAAGCAGGGATGGAAAAAGAGAGAAGAGCCCCGCTCGTCACGAACTGAGAGCCGACGGTTATTGGCGTCGCGGCTCAAGGCGCGTGACGAGGGAAAAGAATATGATACACACCGCGCGCATACACACACATACACGCACACGCACGCACACACAGCGCTCGTCTTCCACATTTTATTCACGTCAACCTTTTTTCTTCTTCTTCGTAATATTGGGAGTTGAAAATAGCGACTCTATACACAAACGCACGCACACACAAACACGCAGGCGGGCACGCCCCCTCTCCTCATTCAGTTCCTTTCCTTGGCTCGTCCGCTGCGCGTTCCTGAGGCGGCGGCGGCGGCAGCTTTGGCAGACTCTCTAAAGCGAACCGCGGCGCTGCCCCACATGGTCAAGGCACGCCCCCCTCGCAAAGCTCCGACCTGATGGCGAGCAAAGCCTTCGTGAAAGAGGCACCTTCCCTCTTTTTCCCTCCCTTCCTTTCCGTGGCTCAAGGGGAGCGCACCGAGATCCCTGTCAGAGAAACGGCTGGGGTGGCGGGGCGGGAGAGACTTCCCTTTTCCAAATCAAACCAAGACGCCGGCGAGAAAAATAACCTAGTCCGGGGGAGAAAAAACAAAACAACCAAGCTCTAAGCCTGTAAAAACACTCGGCTAAACCTTTAGCTTCAGCGGCATCCGCCTGGGCGCCCATCCACACGCACCGAAGGTGACCCAACCTCTCCTCCCCCACTGGGCACCTTACATCCAGCCAAGGTTGCTGCCACAATTCCCCCCACACACACACCCCACGGCCAAATCACGTTGGGTCCCGACCCCGGCATCCTTGCTGGCTTGGCGCCCGCCGCTCGAAACGAAGGGCCCGGAGGTACAGCCCTGGAACGCCAGAATCGAAGCTCTCTCGCGCGCCCTTTATCCCGCCATTTTGCCCCCAATCGCCTTTTCCTGCACCATGCCGCCCACCCGACCGAAGATGGGGGAAGCGCACATCACAGGGGAGAGAAAGGGAAGAGGTATAAAAAAGAAGATATCAGCCCTTTAAAGTCTATCTACCCTTTTCTCCCCAACCACCCCCTCCCGCCCCCCATGAAGTCTCAGCTAAGGCTCCTCCAAGGGTGAGGGAAGGCTTGGATACAAGGCATATCCAAAGGCGTTGCTTCTGTAGAGGCTAATGTTGAATCGAATTTCTATCAGTTCCAGCTGATTTATTAAAACTGTCAAGATACAGACTTTCAGCATTTTTTTTTTTAAAAAAGGCAATGTTGTTGACAGTGCACAAGTCTGTTGTGTTGCCATCCTATGCTACAAAATATGCAGATGGTCTGTACTTGTAAGAATCATATTGCACAAAATGAGAAACTTTTACTATGTGCCTTTCTTTTTTCCCATTTCATTTTTTTTTAAATTTTCACTAAAAAAAAAGTTGAGAATCCAGTTTCATACCTTCCATCTGGGCCCCCATTCACATATCACAGCATATGAGATACATAAATTCCTACTATAGTACAGTACATATACAATCTTTTAAACTAAGATAACAGCTCTGAGGTCTATATCACCATTTTCAATAAATCTTTACCTACAAATATTGAACAAATCTGAACTATAGCTGTACAAAAAAGTGTTTTGTTTTGTTTTTTTTTAAACCACAAGGCCTTTAGATACAAGGATTTTTTTTAATCCTTTCAAAACCAGGACATAAACGTACCCATATAACTTGCATGCTAAAAACAGAGGAAAAAAATAAAAAAATAAAAGGGAAGAAGTGCCTGAAAAGTCTTACTGAAAAAACACAGCAAGAATGTTCCCTTTCACTGTACAAAAATACGCCTGAAAATATATTAATTTTTTAAAAAGACTGAGGTCTGTTATGTATCAAAAATGTTTCAATACCTTTGTGTACTGAGGTCTAGGCTGTCTGGTATTCAATCAAGGAGGTATAAGGGAACAAGTTACAAAAAAAAAGTTGGCAAGTAGAAATCACATTTGTAAAACCATAAACAATTTGATCTGAAAAGTAAACTCTGATCTTAAGTCAGTTCACAGTTTTGTTTTGTAAGCGTTTGTACAGTCTGCATTTTTTTCAAGCTCCCTGCAGCTTTGTTAAGAATTGGATGCATAGAAGACATCAGTTTTCTCCCTCCAAACAAAAAGTTTGTAATGGTCCCTTTAAAAAAAATTTAAAAATCAGAACAGTCCTTAGAAATCTTTGTAGGAGAAACAAAAACAAAAATCCACAAACCCCCTTGAGTAACAGTTGTGCTGCCAAAAGACTTTTTTTTTTTTTTGCAGACCACTTCCAGACTTGAATCACAAACTTCAAACAACGCCTTCTGAATCTTTTAACCCCCAGTCCCATTTGCCTTTTTTTCCTTGCTGCTACTGTTGTGATTACCATTTTTTAAAAAAAAAAATCAGAAGGAAAAAAAAAAATCACAACTCCGGACTCGGTTTGGAACTAACTTCAAGACTTTAAAAAGAAAGAAAAGAAAAATCCAAAGACATTTTGATCATTACTTCACTTCAAAACTCCACCACGTTTAAGCGTAAATCACTAGCATCAACTTTCCATTACCGATTTTTTTCTTTTTTCTTTTTCTCAGTCCTTTTGATCTCTCTCTCTCTCTCAGCCTGTTCGCCTGCCCGTCGCATTTTCCTCTGCTTCCTCTCTCCCTCCCTCCCTCGCTTCTTCAGTAAGTGAAAACCAAGTCGGAAAAGTTCGCTTCCAGCCAGTCGCCTGCGATCATCTCGCTCAGCTCCGGGGTGCAGTAATCGGGGAACTCGAAGTGAGAGCCCAAGCTGCCCTCGCTGAACGAATCCAAATCCTTGTCCACGAGGGAGAGGGACAGGTTGCCCGCCGCGGAGCTCACGCCCATCTCCGAGGCGGCGTGAGTGTGCTGGGAGAAATTCAAGCTCAAGTCAAACATCAGGTCGTCCGCCTCTTCGCTACTGCTGCTGGAAGAGGAGGAGGAGGAGGAGGAGGTGGAGACGGACCGGGAGGAAGCCGGGGACAGGCTGGGCTGCTGGCCGCTCTTGGGCATACTCTTGAAGCCGTAGTAGAGTCTGCTGGCGCTGGCGCCATGCGGGGCGGCGGCCCCCCTCACCTCTTCGTACAGGCTGGCCCCTTCGGTGGACTCCGCCGACGAGCTCAAGGTGGGGCTGGCCGGGACTTTGGCTACGTTGTACCGCCTCAACTGCTGCTGCTGCTGCTGCTGCTGCTGCTGGTGGTGGTCCTCCTCCTCCTCCTCGTCGTCCTCCTCCTGCTTGATCCGCAACTGCAGGTCGTCGTCGTCGTCGTCCTCCTCGTCGTCCTCGTCCATGAAGACGCACTTGATGGTCTTGCTGCTCACTTTCAGCGTCCCGAATTGGTGGTAATCCTCTCCCCCGAAGTCACCCGGGTGGGGGGCCAGCTTCGTCCCGGCCTTCGGGGGAGACGACGACGAGGAGGAGGAGGAGGAGGAGGAAGAAGAAGAAGAGGAGGAGGAGGAGGAGGTTTTCCCTTTGCTACATTTCTTACTGGAGCTTTTGGCGCTCTTGCCGCTGTTGCTGTTGCCGCTGCCGGTACTGGTGGGTGTGTTTTTCTCCGGGCTGTGGTTGGCGCTGGGTTTGGCGGACGGGTCTATTTTGGGCTTTTTCCTCGGCCGGTATTTGTAATCGGGATAATCGGCCATGTGTTTAAGGCGCAGTCTTTCGGCTTCCCGGATGAACGGGATCTTTTCGCTGTCCTTGAGCATTTTCCACCGTTTGCCCAGGCGCTTGGAGATCTCGGCGTTGTGCATGTCCGGCGACTGCTCCATGATTTTTCTGCGCTCGATCTTGGACCACACCATGAAGGCGTTCATCGGTCTCTTGATGTGCCCCGAGGCCGTTTTGCACCAATCCGGATCGCTCTCATCCAGCGCCACCGGACTGCACGCCATAAACTCCCCTTCTTCGGTATCCATCGCTTCTCTGGGCAGGTTGTTCTCCGACTCTGGACTTTCCGCTTGCTGGACCATGGTGGGAGGGTACGATTGCTCTTGAGAGTTTCTTAGTAGTCTTTCCGGTCGGTTATTATTTTTAAAAAAATGTATTTTTCCTCCTCTTTGCACCCACCGACCGGTCGCCCACCTCGCTCGACTCAAGCGAACGGCTGCAAGGTGAAGCCCGGGCGCGCAAGTTGCAAGCTCCTTCTTCTTCTTCCCCCCCCCTCCCTCCCTCCCCTGCCCTTTGCGTCTCTCAGTCTCTGCGCTCCTCTCTCCTGCGCTGATTATCCGTCTAGCAGCGGCAGAAGCAGGACTCGCTCCGGCTCTTTCCCCTCCCCCCCTACAGCAGCAGCAGCAGCAGCAACAGCAGCCGCCGGGACCCAGAGATCTCGCTGGATCGCACTCCCCCTTCTGCAAAAGTTGCGGGTTCTCTCCGAACTAGTTATCAGGGTTTCATATGGGTGACATCACTCCTGCGGCCAGCCAATGGAAGAGCCGAACTCCTCCCCTCGGCTCCGCCTCTCCGCCTTTATTAAGTTCCCCCCACATGTATGCCTACACACCCCCTTTGCAGCGGCTGTTGGAAGGCGTGGGGAGGGGGAGATGAAGGGGAAGTGGGAAGGGGGCTGGGCTTGGAGGTTCGTCTTAACAGTCGGAGAGGGAAGGAGTGGGGGGGGGGACAGAAGCGAGGGAACGGTTGCTTGCGCTGGGATCAGGAGATCGCCCTCTCCTCCTTGGGTTTTCTTGACAGGAAGGGGGTCCTACTTCTTCTTTACCAGGATCTGGGAAGACCGCGCAGGTGAATCTGCTGCGATTATTCCCACATTGCCTAATGTCACACTGGGTGAGCTTATTCTTGCAGGAATCCACTCGGCATCCTCTGGGCATTGGCTTCTTCTGTGCACGACAGCTGTAGGTGGCGCTTTAGTACCACTAGCTCCTTGCGTTTCGTTTTGGTCGGATTCCTTGTGTACGCTGAGACAGACAAACACACACCGAGATTTATGTGTATGTGTCCTCTGACTTGCAGATTATTTTATTTTCTCTCTCTCCCCCCCCCCCCCAAATCTTTCTCCTTCTCCCAGACCTCCCAACCCTATCTGATCTTATGGCAGGACTATATTTTGAATTTCTTGCCTCTCTTTTTCCCAAAACCAGTAGCAGGAATATAATCTGACTCTTCTTGAGTGTGTTTCTCAGGGAATACTGGTCAACTTCAAGAGATGGAGGGGGGAAGGGAGCTTGAAAATTCATATATGTCTATCATATGTGATAATTCACTTGTCCTTTAACCACATGGACTTTACCCATGTTTGTGTATTTTTACTAACGCTATTCAAATACAATTTTCAAAAAGTTATTTGTCTTTTTAAATAAAAATTAAAAACAATCCAGAGCAAACCAGAGTACTGTATAATTTTTACTGAATATTTCAAAGTACCTTTAGCTTATCTAAGCACTGATTTTAATCAGTTTTTTAATCAGGTTATATTTTCTAAGTACATAAGGGTATGTAGGTGAGGCTGGCAGTGCCAACAAAAGGGTGCTTAGGTGTACTAGACCATTTGCTTTATCAGCACTTTTCTACAAGCTATTATTCTAGTAAACATGCTTAAAACTCTATCTTGTATGTCATATATTTGTAATTAAAAGTAAAATGTACATGTATTTTAAATGTTTCCCATTTTGCATAAACAGTGGCCCACCCATTCCTGCAAATAGTTTAAAAAAGATTTAATGGTGTTTTAAGTATGGCAAGTGTAGATGTAGCTATAGGATTAGAATGTAATGACACTTTTGAAAATTAAACTATCTTAAGTCTTTTTGCACTAGTACATACATGCTTATCTGGGAGTTTACTAGCAACCAAATCAGTCCATCATCACAAAGTATCTAACTCCCAATGTGACAGCAATGTTAATGAGAGTGTTGTGGCATTAATTTGATGGCAACGTTTTGCAAAAAGTTGCACTTAAGAGCACAAATCTTCAAAGGTGTAATAGGTTCAAGAAAATAAATAATATACGAACATGTAATACTTAATGTATTTTTGGAGCAAAACGAATATAACGATGCATGTCGTTTATTAAATGTACTTTTGCTTATGGAGACTTCTTGCCAAAGCTAAAGCAGATAAAAAAGCACTTTGCTCAAAAATGCTGAATATGACATTACATATGAAATATAGCATCTGTTCCAAAATAAGGTATAAAAATCTTCAGACAGCAAAAATTGCTCCATTGCATCGTGGCTAGCTTGCTGGTTTTCCTTGCAGAGCACGAAGTCACCACAAAATGGCTTGCTTTATTGAGATGGAAGAGTTCGTGTTGGAGAAACATCCTTTGAAACACTTGCAGACACCAGTATTCCTGGGTCAGCCTCAGTGACCCACCCTCTTCCCATCTGCTCTGCTCAAGATAGGGAAAATATCATTTAATTAGAACTCCTGCCCCATAGACTTAGGGAGGAAAGGATCATCTTCTGGCTCAATCTTTGTTCCAGAAAGACCTTTCAGGTTATTGCAATTGCTTATTTAAATATTTGAATGTAACCTTTGCTTACATTCAATTCATACCCATTTTTCTTCTGATGTTCAACTAGAGTGCATAGGCGAACCTATGGCACGGGTGCCAGAGGCGGCACTCGGAGCCCTCTCTGTGGGCACATGTGCCGTTGCCCCAGCCTTGCTTCCTCCCACGACCCCCTCCTCTCCAGCAGCCCCCCTGAAGGAGAGTTGTCCTTGAGCGTGGCCCACACGGAGCAGCGCAGCCAAGGACATGGCAGCCAGGCAGCGTAGACAAGACTCTGCCCTCACACCCTATCATGCAGTTGATGCTGCAGGGCACGCGCGGGCAGAGGGTGTGGCCGCTATAGCACTGCTGGGCTGCCTGGGCGATCTGCGGCGGGCCCTGGAGCGGTGAGTGGTCCTGTGGGCAGGCGGGGCTGGGCAGGAGGGTGGAGCGGGGGCAGGGCCAGTCTTTTGGGCACTCGGTCTCTAAAAGGTTCGCCATCACTGGCATAGGCAGTTTTCCCAGTTTCAAAAGTTGTGTTCTGATTAACATTCTATGCTGTGCCCTAACGTGGTTTGTCTGACTCTGACTGGTTCCCCCAAATGTGTAAAATCAATCAGGTTTGGAATTATTTACAGCCAATGGAAGCTCAATCAGTTCAGTGTGATTAAACAAACCATGGCTTACAATACTAAGTGAACTAGGGTAGTATATGACAGCCCTCCTTGTTTGGAAACTAGATCCAATAGTCACAGACAACCCAATTTATATCTCCATTTTGATCAGCTGGTATTGTCCTTTTGTAAAATAGCACTAGCAATGGCACTTAGACTTATATACCGCTTCATAGTGCTTTACAGCCCTCTCTAAGAGGTTTACAGAGTGAGCATAATTGCCCCCAATAATCTGGGTCCTCATTTTACTGACCTTGGAAGGATGGAAGGCTTAAGCTGGTGAGAATCAAACTCCTGCCAGTCAGCAGAATTAGTCTGCAATATCACATTCTAACCACTGTGCCACTATGGCTCTCGTTTGGGCAATTTGTAAACAAATATAAAATGATCTAATATCAGACTTCTTATCTAAGTTAACATTTGTGCCAAATAAGTGGCGATCATGAGAATTTCACTTCCGCAACAGATTTAGTTTTGCAACTATTCTTGCTGTTTGTTTCAGTGTAAAATGTCAATTGCACCTTCAGAACAGGTAAAAAAAAAAATAGCGCTATGTCCTGTCAGATTTTCAATGGGTTGTAGAGTTCTAACGAAAGCCACCAAAATAGAATTAAATCAACAGTTTTGTTACATGATGGTGGGATAATGATGGATACAATAAGTATAACATTCCCAATTGCTTTGTATGGTTTGAAGTCACCAATGTCTGCAGTTACATTTTTTTCACCTAATTTGCTTTACTAAAGCAAAAACATGCCAATAAAATCGAACGTAGACCCACAAATAGCTGAGTATGCAGTATTATCCAGAAGACAGGCTTAAGATACAGGAGGACTAAGGAGAAACTTCCTGACAGTTAGAACAATTAACCAATGGAACAACCTGCCTCCAGAAGCGGTGAATGCTCCAACACTGGAAGTTTTTAAGAAGAGACTGGACAGCCATTTGTCTGAAATTGTGTAGGGTTCCTGCCTGAGCAGGGGGTCGGACTCGATGACCTCCAAGGTCCCTTCCAACTTTTTATTATTATTATTATTATTATTATTATTATTATTATTATTATTATTATTATTATTATTATTATTATTATTATTATTAGTCTTTCAACCTGTTACGCCAAGACTTTAGAAAATAGACAGGAAACTGTGAATTCTTTGCTGTGATAAATGCAGCCAATGAAACACTTTTGATGTTGTACAACATGAAAAAAAAATAGGATCCCATGGCAAGCAGTATTTAATAACTTACAAATGCCTTTGCTGGCATGTAAAAATGCATTATCAAAACTAAGAGTCAGTTTGGTGTAGTGCAGGGGTAGGCAACCTTGGCTCCTTTATGACTCGTGGACTTCAACTCCCAGAATTCCTGAGCCAGCACAGCTGGCTTAGGAATTCTGGGAGCTGAAGTCCACGAGTCATAAAAGAGCCAAGGTTGCCTACCCCTAGTGTAGTGGTTTAAGGCATCAGGGTACAAACCGGGAGACTATGAGTTTTAGTCCTTTAGGCACAAAGCCAGCTGGGTAACTCTCATCCCTAGGAGGAAGGCAACGGCAAAGCATTCTCAGAAAATCTTGCCTAGAAAACTCCAGGGACTTGTCCAAGCAGTTGACAGGAGTCACGAACAACTTGAAGAGAAAACAAATACATAAATAAATAAATAAATAAATAAAAAACCAGCTTTTGCTGGTTTATATATAGGCAAATATATAAATTCACATTCATAACTGGAGCTTTTAACTAAGTTTATCCCTGAACCAAGGACCCGGTGGCGCAACGGCTTAATGACACTGGAATTGCTGGCCAAAAATAGTCTGCACTCCGGTGGCTCAAGTCCGGCTCCACAAGACTGG